CTACGTGTATAGCCGAAAGGCTTCTCCAATGGCCAGAACTGCTCAATTGACCGATTATACGGCTTTATCCTATACCCGAAGGGATTCGTGAATGTATTCTAAGTAAGGGCAGCGATTAAGTCATTGTGGCACCACAGGTGGCGCTGTTCGCGCTTCGCGCGTTGATCCGGCTGCAGACTGTCCAGTCTAGCTGTCATTCTTAAAATGAATGATGTTTCTAGGACTGGTCTTGGTAGCAGCCGCCTGGTCTGGCAGGCAGGTCCTGAGCTTTAAGTGGTTATAAACATGGGGCCCTATCATCCCTATTCATGGTGTCTACACATTTATGAATTTGGATAGACTCTCTTATATCTATTTAGAGAAAAACCTTTCTCATTGAAGATCTCACCCACACACTAATCAGGAACGTGGTCACAGTTGACCACGCTGTCGATAATGGTCGTCTTTTCTTATAGTTATAGCGGACAGGGTGCGAAATTAACACGAGTCCGGAGTCAAATACTCCCCGATTTACTGTCGGACTCCCTGATTTCACATATATGCCACAGTACGTGTCACAGTACGTGTCACAGTACGTAGTCACAGTACGTGTGACTCCCTGAAAATTCTGCTACACTAACTAGTTCATTCCAGAGCACGCCCTCGCGGAATTACCGTATTTTTCCAGCAAATGTCCCCAGAAAATTTGGCAGACGTGCACCGCAAATGTTCTGCAATGTTCAAACGTGTAATCAGCAGTGGTTATTACAGACAGCCAGCGTGTGCCGCGCTTGCCGCTAGTGCGTACAATGTACGTGCGTTATGGCCAGCAGTGGTGTCGATTGATGTACGGCAGGGGCGGATTCAGACCGTATTTGCCATATTGGGAAATACGGTCTAGATTTCAAAATGCCTTCCGAAATTTTGCGCTAAAAAAAGAGAAAATAATTTGATGGAATTTGGCTATATTCTTTATTTGTTTTCTTTTTCTTCTGATTCATTGACAGGACTTGAAGGAAATCAAAATTTTACATGGTAACAAAACTAGCTTTGATATATCTGAAAAAGAAGGGAAGTGCTTGAATCATTCTGCATTAATTGCTGGTATGCAAAGCACAGGCAAAATGAAGCAGAAATAAATTTCCATAATTATGGTTTTTAGCTATTGCTGCTTGACTAAATATGTGCTCAAATGGTGCTCATTTTTGTGCCCAGGGACCCTTGAAATTTTTGACCCCAGACCCCCCGCCATGTGCTTCCGCGCCTAACAGCGCCCACTGTGGGGTGGTGTGCCCTTTTTGGGGGATGTGCCCTTAAAACTGGAAAAATACTGTCTAGCTTCAGCCCTGGATCAGCCCCTGTCGGGCCCGATTGTTTCATGTCTGTGGCACGAAGTGATGTCTTGTGCTGAGCATGTTTATAACTGCGTAGCTCCCCATCCTAACAACTGTGGAAATTATTGAAGTGTGAGTATTTGGCAGATAACAAGCATATATGTTGATGTACCAGTGTTCATGTATTAAGTACCAGAGATGGATTAGACTGTTGGTCACATATATTGAAGTACATGTATGACAAATGATTGTACTCCTAGCTCTGGGGGGGTATTCGTGTACATGACTCTTTTAGAGCAAAACCTTATATTTTCTCATTCCTTATGGTAAGACTCTCAAAAAAGTTTGGTAACACTTCGGTCAAGTACGTTTTTTCTGTACAGCTAATTATGCAATTTTTGGTTAGGCCGCCAAAGTGAAAAGATGACAATATTAAAGTTTCAGAGCATAATATTTATTAAGCAACCATAAACTTTCAAATTGCACTGAATTACATTGAATGATTATTACTAATAACTTTCTAGCATGATTTGTTGCCATAAACTTTGTTTCATAGTACGAAATGGCTACATTTTGCTCAAATTTAGCCAAAAAATAGCCAAAAATCGCGTTCACTTTGAAAGTAGCTCTAAGTATGATATGCTTCTAGCTCACCCCAATATTGTAGCTAGAACTACCAAAAATTGGCCAAAAGTATTCCTTATTAAGTGCCCTAAGTGACCCAACGTTCAAAATGATGCTTCCCGCTCTATATAGTGCACAGCGGGGGCTATTGTAATTCAGGGTCAACCTTACCCCAAATAGCGCCTTTTGCGAATTTCGTCAAATGATGATAACTCCGTACAGTAAGTGACATAGAAGTTGATTTTGTGGCAACATATAGGTTTTTTGACACCAAGGAATTGAATTGACACCATTATTATACATTTTGAGTTCACCTAATTAGAAGAAGTATAAGATGTCTGCCCAAAAGCCGATAATTAAGACACGAATTGTACCATAGAAAGATGATTGAAGGATAATCACATGCATCATAGAACTGTACAGGCGTGACAAAAGAAACGACAGAAGGAGAAACACCCCTGCATATCATCAATGCGGCGAATCTGTTCATGGTCTTAGACGCGAGGCAAAATTGTGACCACAACCCCAAACCATAAAGGACTTGCAATCAGCTACGCAGAGCTGCGTAGGTACAACATGATCTCGCATCTTTCACGACACAGCACAACCAAAACGCGTTGCGCTACCCTGTCACTTTGTTCCAGGGCAATTCACTCTCTGGCGCCATTGACAATTGGGATCATGAGGTACAAAATGTATCGGAGCACTGATACAGTGACCTGTACTTTACCAAACAAACCGTCATCATTCAACCGCGTAAACCCAAGATTTCTGACACTGAAGGTCAGATATGGCCAGCAAGCTTTTAAGCAAATGCTCACTATGTCAAATTCTCTCAAAGCTTCCACAAATCTGCTCGCCGTCCTGACCTTCCTGCATCCTACGAAGTGAGCAACGACGTTCTATCATCTGTAAATGGCGATGCAGCTAAACTGAAAGATACTATCTGGTCCCTTGCCCGCGTAGATGTCACCCAAAATCAGGTCTCCATCTATCGTCCATCACAAACAATGCCCTTCTGGAGGGCAAGCAACGCTGTATGGACAGAGGAGAACATCCAAGAAAGAACCTCACATTCTTGCCTGTCCTCGCGCCTATCCTGGTTACTGAGTATGGCAATCTCTCTCTTTTGCCACCTGTCTACC